CCCTGCTGGACTCTGGTGATCCTTCCGCCTCAGCCTTCCAAGTAGCTGGAACTACAGGCGCATGCTACCACGCCTGGCTCATGTTTTGATTTATTGTAGAAATGACATCTCACCAAGTTTCCCAGCCGGGTCTCGAACCCACAGGCTCAGGCAATCCACTCACCTCAGCCTCCCAAAGGCGCAGGATTACAGGCTGAGCCACTGAGCTCGGCTTTTTTTTTTTTTTTTAAAGTTGAAGTCTCACTCTGTTGCCCAGACTGGAGTGCAGTGGCATGCTCACTGCCACCGTAGCTTTGACCTGTTGGGCTCAGGCAATCCTTCTACCTCACCCTTCCAAGTAACTGGAACCACAGGCACACACCACCACGTCTGGCTAATTTCTTGATTTATTGTAGAGATGAGGTCTTGCCAAGTTGCCCAGGCTGGCCTCAAACCCATGGACTCAGGCAATCCTCTCACCTTGGCCTCCCAAAGTGCCGGGATTATAGGCATGAATTACCGCACCTGGCCCTTCTTCTCATTCTTTTTAATTTTTTTATTTTTCTTTTTATTTTTTTTGAGTTGGAGTCTCACTTCTTTACCCAGACTGGGGTGCAGTGGCATGTTCACGGCCATCCCAGCGTCGACCTTGCTGGGCTTAGGTGATCCTTCTGCCTCAGCCTTCCAAGTAGCCGGAACTACAGGCGGCGCTACCACACCCAGCTAATTTTTGGTTTATTATAGAGATGAGGTCTTGCCAAGTGGTCCTGGCTGTTCTCGAATCTGCGGGTTTAGGCAGTCCCCTCACCTCAGCCTCCCAAGGTGCTGGGATTATAGAGGTGAACCACCTCGCCCGTACCCTTCTCATTCTTAAGAGCTATCAGAGGATACAGCAAGGGTGGAGAGCCTCTAGTGGCCCAAAAGAAAGTAAACTTTTTAAAGCAAACCCTGAGAAGCAAGTGAAATGGTGTGGTTCTTGAATCTAGAGTTTACTAAAGTAAGAAGAATGATCCAAGATTCTGACTTAACTGTGAGAATGGAAGGGCCATCAGAGGAGAGAAGGTTCTATCTGATGATGTAACAACTTGGCATGGTTGTAAAAATCCCCCACAGACTTGACATTTCTGCACTTGTGTCATTCCTGCTAGGTCAAGAGTACCTCTCAGCTGCTAAGCCGACCACTGACAGCAGTGGTGCTGAAACGACCAGAGACACTGCCAGATGAGGTACCTTGCAGTTGGGACTGTGGTTTTAGGGATAAGGGATGGGGGGTTACCTGCCAGAACCAGTAGGTGGAGTGCTGGGGACAGTCATCATAGACTAAAATTAGTGAAGGATCAAGGCCACTGGCTTCAGGTGAAGATATAGGACAGTTAATATGATACATGCCCTGGTATGCCCGCTTTTGCCACTGGTAGCACGAGGTCATGTGTATTGCTGCTAACTGCCATTATTGGCCTAGTGTGCTGACCTCAGTTGGGAGCATCTTGTTGCAGTAAGATGATCTTCTTGGGGCACCAAGAACAGGCTGGGATCTCGGTCTTACACTTCTTGACCACGCCTGAATCTTGAAGGCATTTAAAGTCCACCTCTGACATTAAAAGGTTCTGCTTGCCAATGTTTTAGAAGGTTAAATGATTTTCCATCTGGGGGAGAAGTCATGGGATTTTACAGCATAAAGTGTTTCCAAAAACCTTCACCTTCTACCTGCCTCTTCTTCACAGAGCCTCAGCAGCTTGGCAGTTTCGCATCCCCTTACCTCACTTGTCCCTAGCCGCAGCTTTCAAACCAGCGCTGTTTCAAGGGACATCGACACAGCAGCCAAGTTCATTGGGGCTGGGGCTGCCACAGTTGGGGTGGCTGGCTCTGGGGCTGGGATTGGGACTGTGTTTGGGAGCCTCATCATTGGTTATGCCAGGTAAGATAAGTTGGGCCCTCTGTTGTCTCTCCAGTGTGCTTTCCCAAGGTCTGGGCAGAGGTGGGTGGGGGTCTGGAGCTACACTAGCCTATACAGTGGCCACTAGCTTCACATGGCTATTTTGAATTTTAATTTTAATTTAAAAAAATATATATAAACTTTTGGTTTTCAGTTTCTCAGCCACAGTAAACTTTTTTTTTTTTTTTTTGCATCAGAGTCTCACTATTACCCAGGCTGGACTGCAGTGACACGCTCATGGCCACTGCAGCCTCGATCTGCTGGTCTCAGGCAATCTTTATGCCTCAGCCTTTCAAGTAGCTGGAACTACAAGCATGCGCCACCATACCCAGCTAATTTTTTGGTTTATTGTAGAGACAAGGTCTCACCATGTTGCTCAGGCTGGTCTTGAACCCCTGAGCTCAGACAGTCCTCTCGCTTCTGCCTCCCAAAGTGCTGTGATCACAGACATTAAGCCACTGCACCCAGCTTTTTTTTTTTTTTTTTGAGTTGCAGTCTCACTCTGTGGCCCACGCTACAGTGCAATGGCACACTCACAGCCACTCCAGCGTTGACCTGCTGGGTTCTGGCAATCCTTCCGCCTCAGCCTTCCAAGTAGCCGGAACTACAGGTGCGCACTACCATGCTCAGCTAATTTTTGATTTATTGTAGCGATGAGGTCTCACCAGGTTGCTCAGACTGATCTCAAGTGCCTGGACTTGAGCAATCCTCTTGCCTCTGCCTCCCAAAGTGCTGGGATTACAAGCATGAGCCACTGCACCCAGCCAACAGTTAACCATACTTCAAGTGCTCAGTAGCCATGTGGCTAGAGACTGTGTACTCAACAATGAGATACAGCATGTCTGTCATGGAACAGCTTTGGTCTAGAGTAGAGGTTGGCATTCTAAGCCCCAAGAACCAGATTTGGGCCATGGCCTAGTTTTATATGATTGAGCTAAAAATAGTCTTGCTTTTTTTGTTGTTGTTTTGAGTAGGAGTCTCACTCTGTTGCCCGGGCTGGAGTGCAGTGGCACTCTCACAGCCACTACAGCCTCAGCCTGCTGGGCTCAGATGATCCTTCCACTTCAACCTTCCAAGTAGCTGGAACCACAGGTGCGTGCCATCATGCCCAGCTAATATTTTGATTTATTGTAGAGTCGAGGTCTTGCCAAGTTGCCCAGGTTGGTCTGGAACTCCTGAACTTCTCCACCTCCCAAAGTGCTGGGATTATAGGCATGAACCACTGCACCTGGCAGTTTTGCGTTTTTAAAAGCTTTGTTTTTTTTTAAGGCAATAGTCTCCATGTGGTCCACAAAACCAAAGATATTTACTATCTGACCCTTAACAGAAAAGTTTTGTTATCCCTGGTGTAGATCCATTGTGACCTTTGTGGCCTTACTGCTATTTTTCCACATCTCGGAATTTTCCTCTGACTCTTTTGGGAAAACTGGCTCTGCAGCCAGCCCCTGGTCCCTGACACCTGGGACTATTTAGTCCCTACCAACTCTGGTGAACTCACTGTTAGAACTAAATTAATCCTCTAGAGACCAAGGTTTTTTGTTTTTTAAGGCAGGATTTATTGAGAGGACAGAAAAGCTCCTGCAGTGGGAGGGGACCCAAAGGGGTTGCCCAACAAGCTTTCTTAATGTGTGGGGAGAAGTAGGGTTCTTTTTTTTTTTTTAGGATTTGCATTGAACAAGAAATCTAACTGCTTCCGTATCCATAATTCTCTTATAAAGGCTGGTGTTGCTCTACCTTCCCTATTAAGACTTAAAGACATGTCAGAGTAAGAGAAATATAAATTATATGTTGGCTTTCAAAATTGAGATTCTGGCCAGGCATGGCTTAACCTGTAATCCCAGCACTTTGGGAGGTGGGGGCGAGAGGATTGCCTGAACCCAGGGATTCAAGAACAGCCTGGCAACTTAACGAGACCTCATCTCTACAGTAAATCAAAAAAATTAGCTGGACATGGTGGCATGCGCCTGTAGTTCCAGCTATTTGGAAAGCTGAGACGGAAGGGTCACCTGAACCCAGCAGGTCAAGGCTACTGTAGCCATGTGCTTGAAACTGCGCTCCAGCCTGGATGACAGAGTGAGATTCCAACTCAAAAAAAAAATACTGAGATTCTTTTATACTTTTTGACTCATACTATAAATCCTGTAGACCATTTGTAGCTTCTTGAAGCCCAAAATCATTTGACTGTTTTGAAGTGAGAGAATGTATTCTGTTCTTCTGACTCTCTTGTTCTCTAGAACAGCGTCTTCTAACTGTGTTCCATAAAACTCTAGGATTCTGAGGCTATGCCCCAGACACTGTGTTGGAGAATGAAAAGGAAACCAAACAAGCCTTTAAAATTTCCCACTTCTTTTGTACCATAGTAGTTTGCTTTTTATATGTTTACTATTTTGGGGTTCTGCTACTTAAAGTTTGAAAACACTGCTCTAGATAGACCTCACCACTGTGGATGCTTTCCTTCTTTTTTGGGGCCCTGGCTGTTACGTGTGCGGGCCAAGAGGTCTTAAGTTATGGTAATGATACAGGTGAACCACTAGAGAAGGGAAGAATGTGCCTAGACCATGTTATGGGATTTTGGGTTGTCTGCTCCCCACCTTCATTCAGTCCCTGTAGAGCTGTTGGAGTGTGGGGCAAGAATTTGGGCATGATGGTGTCACCTGAAAGGCTCCTTATGTCAGATGATCTGAAGAGGGGAATTCTCCCAAGCCCCTGCCTTAGATGTTTGTCTTTTTTGTGTGAACTGGAAATTCAGTCTTTTCTCCTCCTCTTCCAGGAACCCTTCTCTGAAGCAACAGCTCTTCTCCTACGCCATTCTGGGCTTTGCCCTCTCGGAGGCCATGGGGCTCTTCTGCCTGATGGTAGCCTTTCTCATCCTCTTTGCCATGTGAAGGAGCCGTCTCCACATCCCATCGTTCTTTCTCCCACGTCTTGTCTGCCCTGTATGTTCTTTTTTCTGTAGCTCCCCAGCGGCCTGGGGAAGGTGGTTGGCTCAGGGTTTGACAGAGGGAAGATAAATAAATACTGTATTAATAAGATGTTTCTTGAGTCTCCTGTGTATATTTCATTTCCACAGTTGGCTGAGTGCCTTGGTGAGAACACCAGGCCCGGAGGGTGGTGATGCCTCTAAACTAAACGTGAGTCTGGCTGGGCTCACTTTTTCTGTTTCAGGAAAGCTTTATTCAAAATAGCTCTCCTTTTTGTAAGTTTCACCTGGCATGGCCTACAACTTGCCTTGGAGGATCGGGGTCAGTAGCAACTTACAGTGCTGGCTTAAAATGCTGACTAATAGACTTTCTGTTTCTGCTGTCACTATCCTGGCTCAGGCCCTCATTGTCATCTACCTGGTCTGTTGTGATAACCTCTTAACTGGCTATCTGCCTCCAGTCTTTTCCCTCTAGCATTTACTTCTACCTTCCACTGCCAGGTAAGTCCTCCTCAAGCACAATGCTGGTTTTGTGTTTACCAAGTGAAAAACAGTCTAACCTCAACCTCAGCTTTCTCTTAGTGCCATACACTACCCAGAGTGGACTATGGGTTATATTTCAAATGCTTTCCTGTCCTACCATCACTTCCGGCCTTGTCCTTTGCCCACCTCTGCTTTCTTTTCCTGAATCTTTGCTTGCCTTTTCTCTTTTTCAAACTCTCATCCTTGAAGACTTAGCTTAATTTTTGTTTTTTTCTGACACTCCACCTGGAGAAAGACTTAAATGCAACCTCCATGAAGCTATTTTCTGATATCCATACACTCTCAGTCCAGTGAGCAGGTATTAACCTCTATAAAGGACCATAAGGCGTGTTGCGCCCTTTATAATACTTATGATCTATGATAAAATGAATTTGTGTGCATGGGTGAACATTGAGTGCTTTATTTTTCAAGTTAGATTGTCCATTTCTGTTCTTCATGTTTATCTTTGTATTTCTAAAAGCGTGATACAGCTTAGCAAGGGTTTAGTCAAATTTGTTAATCATCAGATCCAACCCCCTCACTTCACAAGCGAAGAAACTGAGACTTGGAGAGGTCAAAGGATTTTTTTCAGACATTTACTGGCAGACATGGAACTAGAGCTGGGGTGCATCTCTTGCACTCCAGGGTGTAAGACTGCTACGTTGTTGGTCTTATGGGACTTCCCAAACACACTGTCACTGGTGGCTGTTACATTTTCCCAAGTCACGAGGAAAGAGCAAAGTAAAAAGAGATAAGCCTTTTCCCTTTAAAAATGCCTCAAGAGGGGCTTTGGATATATAAATATAAAGGTGAAATTACATGTTCTAAAGGCTTGATAAACTTTGAATAAGACTTACCTAGGCTGAGGCGGAAGGATCGCCAGCGCCCAGTGAATTGAGTGCGGTGGCCAGGAGCGGCCACTGCACTCCAGTCTGGGCGACAGAGTGAGACTCCAACTTAAAAAAAAAAAAGACTTACCTTACACATGCTGGAAATATCTGGGTATAAACTAATGTCCTTTCAGAAACGATAATGTAGATGACCACAATGGTATTATTTTTGGTGCAGTCAGTAACTAAAATTAAAGCCCAGGGAAAGAATTTGACCCCAGAATAAAAGGATGCTCAGGAAACTGGTCATTCCAAATCACTCACCCTTGCCCTTTTGCTGTTGTGATCAAAGGTTAAGAAGGGATACTGTGTACAGATTGCTAGGCTATCTTCAAATAACTATTTTCTGGGCTGTGGATCTCAGAAGAACAGGTCCTGACTTGTGTTTTTTCCAGCCAAGAGGATTGCATATTTGGAGATGAGAAATAGCCTTTCCTTTGTTTCTGGCACTTGAACTTTTGGTAGGAACCTCTACTGTCCCACCCCCTTCCTGAGTCATCAGGTATCTGTGTTTTCTTTCTCTCCTTGGTCCTTTCTTTGGCACTGAGCTGAGCTAACCCCTTAATGACGTAGGTGCTTGGAGAGAACAAAGCTTGGTGGTCCACATGTTTGTGTTCTCTCAGCGGTAAATGATGAGATGGTTCTGCTAGAAGCTTGGAAGCAAATTTCTCTAAGACACAAGGCAACCTGGATTCTTCTTAGCTGCAGGCCCCAAGAGATACCTGTTGGCAACTACTTGGAATAGAGGAGTGCTTTGTTTTGATAGAGGAACGGGCTCCAACTTGGATAACATGTTTATAAGAGCTTTCTCTTGGTAGTTTTAGAAATAGCACATGATTTTAAATCAAAAGTTTTTCTAATCCCTCTTCTAGCATTGTCCACCGTGACATTGGGCAGATCACTAGCCAGTAGCTTTCAAGGACCTCGGTTTCTTCCCATGTACTATCAGGGATAGTAATGCTTATCCCAAGGATTATGCAAGTGTTTGCAAAGGAACCTTTGACATCTGGAAAGGATGGTGCCATCAAAATTCAGTGTACATTGACTGTAATTTGCTTTCTCCTCCTTCATGGAGCTTAGTGTATTATAGCCATTTTATAGGCAGCCTCTCCCTCTTCTGGTTGGCATAGGGAAGGGAACTGACCTTTTAAAATTTTTAAAGTCTGGTCAGAAAGCATCTTGGAGAGAGAGCCCAGGGATGCCGAAGGCAGTGAACCTGCTTTCCTCTTCTTACTCCTCACTTTCTTCAAGAGTCAATTGTGTTTCTTCAGCATGAGGGCTGGTGTGTCAGTATGTTCTTGCCAACGTAATTAGAAGTAAATGGTGCCATTTCAAAGTCATCTAGATGTTAAACAGCAGTAATGAGGAACCCTGTTCCAGCCTCCCTTTCAAGATGGATCTATTAGTTTGAGGCCTTCTCAAGTTCATCAGGATGAGAACATGACCCAGGAATAATACTGGTGATGGAGCTGGAGTTGGTATCCTTGAGCCTCGAGCAGCTCAGCATCTTAAATTCATTCAAATAAGATGAAGGAACATTGAAATAGAACAAGGAAGAGAATCACACAGGTGAGTAGAGAATATTGCTTATCCCCCAAGTTTTGAGCAATGAAACTTTGTCTTTATTGAGTCATACCTCAAAATACATTTTCTTTTTCTTTTTTTTTTTGAGTTGAGTCTCACTCCATCGGCCACTGCAGCCTCAACCTGCTGGGGCTCCGGCGATCCTTCTGCCTCAGCCTTCCAAGTAACTGGAATTACAGGTGCACACTACCACGCCCGGCGAATTTTTTAATTTATTATAGAGATGAGGTCTCACCAAGTTGCCCAGGTGGTTCTCAAACCCGCGGGCTCAGGCAATCCACTCACCTCAGCCTCCCAAGGCGTAGGATTACAGACTGAGCCACCGAGCCTGGCTTCTTTTTCTTTTTTTATTTGGAGTCTCACTCTGTTGCCCAGATTGGATAGCAGTGGCATACTCCCGGCCACCACAGCCTCGACCTGCTGCGTTCCGGCGATCCTTCTGCCTCAGCCTTCCAAGTAACTGGAACTACAGGTGCGCACTACCACGCCTGGCTAATTTTTGATTTATTGTAGAGACGAGGTCTCGCCAAGCCCAAAATATATTTTCTACCATGTATTCTTAGAACACATTCCTGGACACCTTGATATCCTCACCTTATGATGAAAAACTAAAACATGGGAAGATCTTTTAGTCCCTAGGCACTCATTAAAATGTCTTTATTTTTGAGCATTTACTTCAAGGTACTGTGAATGTTAATACATTGTGATTAAAATAGCTTCTTTCTCTCTCTCTCTCTCTCTCTCTCTCTCTCTCTCTCTCTCTCTCTCTTTCTCTTTCTTTCTCTCTCTCCTTCCTTTCTTTTCCTTCCTTCCCTTCCGTTCTTTTTTTTTTTTGAATCGGAGTCTCACCCCGTTGCCCAGACTGGAGTGCAGTGGCACACTCACGGCCACCCCAGCATCGACCTGCTGGGTTCCGGCAATCCTTCCACCTCAGCCTTCCAAGTAGCCAGAACTACAGGAGTGTGCTACCATGCCCAGCTAATTTTTTATTTATTGTAGAAACGAAGTTTTGCCAAGTTGTCCGGGTGGGTCTCGAACCCACGGGCTCAGGCAATCCACTCGCCTCAGCCTCCCAAAGTGCTAGGATTACAGGCTGAGCCACCAAGCCTGGCCTACTTTATTTATTTTTAAGAAATAGAGACAGGTCTCGCTGTGTTGCCCAGGCTGGTTTCGTGCTCTTGGGCTCAAGCATCCTCCAACCTCAGCCTCCCAAAGTGCTGAGATACAGGCATGAGCCACCACACCCAGCCAAAACTAGTCACTTTGCAAATGACAGAAAACATTAGGGATAGAATACTAGGCATGAGGTCAGACCTCGCTCATCTCAAATGTTTGGCTTCTTTTATTAGTGTAAATGGTTAGATAGTTTATTCCCACTTTCTCCCTTGGCCTCCCCAAGGAGATAATGTCCTCTCATCTTTTGAATAAGGGCTGTGGTAGACAAAATTTTTTAAATGACTCCCTTAAAGATATCCTCCTCTAATCCCCAGAACCTGTGAATTGGAAGTCACTCCCCTGGTTATATTATATGGCACTGTTGACTTTAAGATAGGGAGAGTATCTGGGTGAGCCTGATCTAATCACATGAACCCTTAAAAGCAGAGAGCTTTCTCAGGCTGGTGGCTGAAGAGAAAATCAGATTTTAATGCACGTTGCTGGCTCTGAAGATAGAGGGGGCCATATGCGAGGACCAGAAAGTAGCTTCTAAAAGCTGAGAATGGCCCCATAGCCAGAAGCCAGGAAGGAAATGGTGACCTCATTCCTATAATTGCAAGGAACTGAATTCTGCCAACAACCTGAATGACCTTGGAAGAAGATCCTTCCCCAGAATCTTCAGATAAGAGCCCAGCTCAGACATCTCCTTGAGTTTGGCTTTGTGAGACCTGAGACCCTCAACAGAGAATCCAGTCAAGCCTGCCTAAATGTCTGATCTACAGAATAATAAATGAATGTTGTTTTAAACTGCTAAGTTTTTAATAATTTGTTACATAGCAATACAAAGCTAATAAAGTACAATATTCCAATCTGTGGTAGAAGAAATGACGTTTCATCTGGATCTTGAATCAAAAGGAAACTCCAAAAGGTGACTTATCTTCATTGACTCTAATCCAACTCAGG